GTGACTACGCTTCAAAGCTTTGTTGAGTGGTCTTGGGTCAATACATATCCTGGGTTTGCCATTTGGCTTCTGCACTGTCACCATCCCACTGATCCAATCAGTCCTACAATCCACCGGTGCTATTATTTGTCTGTCTGCAAGGCTCATCAGTTCCTCTTTCAGTGGTTTCATCATCGACACTGGGACTGTGCGTTTTGGCAGTTTGACGGGCTGCGCTGTTGTGTCGATTTCCAGCTCATATTCACTTTGCAAACATCCATCTCCTGTAAACACATCCTGAAACTCAGGCTTTATCTCTTCCAACAACCATGCGTTTTTCTCTGATGGAGCTGTTGTCACTGAGCTGTCCAAAGCACAGATGTTATCATATTTAACTTGTATTAGCTTCATTGCTTCACTAGCTGTTCTCCCAAGTAGAGGTGTTTTACAATCCTCCTCTACCACTTGGAACTCGACTCTGTACTATTTGTTTTTTCTTGGGTTTGTCAGCTTGACCTTACACTTTCCTAATGGACACAGCCTTGACTTATTGTACATCACAAGAACCTTGTCTGTGTGCTCCATTTTGATGTTCGGGTTCAACAAGTTGATGGGAATAACGTTGCAGGTTGCACTGCAGTCAACTTGAAACTTGACCAGGCTGTTGCCAATCATCATGCCTGCAAACAGCTGCTCTCGTTTTTTCATGTCTGATTCTCTGATCTGGTTCACTTCTACTGCAGTCTGTGTCATAGCTGTGACAGTCATTATGTCCTCACAGGAATCAGAGTCCTGCTCCGTCACTGTGTGGACCTTTTTTCCATTTTCACTCTGTCTGCTTTTACTCCTGCATGCAAAATGATTTTCTTTGCCACATTTTTTGCATTTTTTTCCATATGCTGGGCATTTTGATTTGAGTCTTTCATGTGCTCTTCCACAAAATCTGCATGATATCTCTTTATCCAGTCTTTCTCTCTCTTTTTGTTTTACTGCATGCAGTTCCTCTACAGCCTGTCCCGCTATTGTTTTGTTGTATTCTCTTGAAATCTCCATTGCTCTACAAATATCTAGACATCTGTCTAATGTGAGGTTCTCTTCTCTGAGCAACCTTTCCCTCCAACTGGAGCTGTTCGTGCCACAGACGATCCTGTCTCTGATCAGTGAGTCTTTTAATTGTCCAAAGTTGCAGGTGCTCGCCAGCATTCTCAGGTCCGTAACATATTTATCAATATTTTCTCCTGGAGCCTGATTGCATGCAAAAAATCTGTATCTCTCGACAGTCTCATTAACTTTGGGATTACAGTGTTCATCGATTTTTCTCATCAGCTCACTTACTGTTACCCTTGCCTCAGCTGCCACCATGTTTCATCTTGTTCTCTCTAAACTTCACAAGATGCTCGGTTGAACTTTCCCTCCTCCAAGGTAAACTTTTATTAAACTCTTAATAAACAGTCATGAGTCTCTGCTTCTCACCTTCGGGTGTTACACTCTCAAGACTCCGGGCGGAACACACAGGTAAATGCAATTCCCCTTGCTACAAACACAAATGATTAAAACTCCTAAAACTAAGTAGATTATGTTTCTCTAAAATGTGACAATGATGCCAGGGCTGCACCATTTTGCATAAAATGAGAATCACAATTTTTTTGCTTAGAATTGAGATCACGATTCTCTCACGATTTTCTTTTCCAATATAAATATTTATTGCACTTACTCCGTAATTTCTTTGTGCCTGGGGGAGTTTGACGGGTATGGGGAAGTGCTGTATAAGGTTCCCGTTATTGATGTTTGGGTGGTTGACGGGGACTGATTTTCTCCTGTCACTTTCTTGGCCTTTACAGCTTCGTCATATTGCACTTTATGGTGACGTTTAAGGTGGTTATACAAATTCGTAGTGTTAGCTTGCGGTGCTGCTACTATGGCAAAACACAGCTTGCAAATGATATCTTTTTGACTCTCATCTTCTTTGAAACCAAAAACCTTCCACATGGAGGAACGAGAACCTTTTCTTGGAATTAATGTTACAGTGGGGTTGTCATTCTCACCACCATCAGAGCTTTTCCTCTGCACTCATTGTGGTTTCTCCCCTCCGGCAGTTTCTCTCACGTGCTCTTCGTTGTTTTTTCCCCTTCCAGCTGGCTTCTGTATCACGTGGTATAAGGCTCTGCCCTTGTCATTTGTTGAGCATGAAGAGTGAGCGCTTGTTTTCATGCAGATTATGTCCCGGAGCAAAACGCGGTACAATCGTCATCTTTTTTTTTCTTTTCTTACATCATTGTCATTTGGAAATGAGATTGCACATAAGTATGAATTGAGATCGCGATTTTCTAACATTTAATTGTGCAGCCCTAAATGATGCCATCGGACAGATTTGACATAGGAGACAGACCTTCAAAATAAAACAGGAAACATGAGACACAGACATGACAATACAAACTTGATAACATAAGACACTCGGCATGAAACACAAAGGGTGAGGAAACTTAAATACAGGGGAAGAAAATAAAAGAGAAATCTAATAACCAAATGAACTTCGCTGACCTAAAGAACTTAAACATAGAACTCAAAACACTGGTTCAAAAGACCCAGGAACGTGACAAATGCATAAATAACTGAGCTGCTGAAGCAGGTATATAGTGCTGAATTAACTCAAAACAATTCAGATTAGCCTTGACCGTCTTAGCAATCTTCTTTACATACTTGTCCAATTTAAGACGTAAATCAAAAATTATTCCTAAAAACTTCTCATCTTACTAAGTGAGCTGAACAAGATGATAAAATCAGAAACACAGGCTTAAAATACCATCTGGTATTCATTGCATTGCATGTGTGTGTATGTGTTAGTAGGATTAAAACATTCTGTGCTTATTAGGGCTGCCACGATTACGTCGACTATCAAAAGCGTCGACGACTGATTTAATAGTCGACGCATCGTTTGAAGCTTTGTAAGATCACAAAAGACGCAGGAATAAGTAGTAGGATTTAAGAGTGTAATAATGGACTGAAACAGAAGATGGCAGCACTGCATGCACAAGGATGCTAGCTGCCGTTAAACCCCGAAGAAGAAGTAGCTCTGTCCCAGAATTCATAGCGCAGCCCAGCTCAGTTTTCAACAATGGTGGCAGCTAGTTGTAATATTACTCTTATTATTCTTTCTGTGTCACAAAATAAACGTTTAACATATTTTCAGAATGTAACTGAATGTATCTGCTCAGTTTACCAAGACACCACATATTTTCAAAAGCGCTCCGACATTTTCGGAGACGTCTGTTGCCCACTAGCTCGATAGCTAGCCGGGGTTCAAGGCTCACTAGAGCCCATGAGAGCACCGGACTCCCGGCAAATCGTTGTCAAACCCACCGCTGTCTTTCACTACTCAGGTTAAACATATATAAGTCACTTAGATAACTTACAAATGTTATTGTTTGGCTTTTTTTTAGTATTTTATTTGTTCCTGAGTAAATCGGTTTGGCTGAGATTAAAGTTATAGTTTTTACACAGCTGAATAAACGTCAAGCAGACAGCTGATTATCAGAAGCATGAGATGCTCGAGAATATACTCCGGTGTCCCGTTATATTTTAGATAGCAAGGAGTTTATTAAACTTCACCGAAACAATCTGCAAATTTCATTAAAATGTAATAAACTATCATCTTGTCTTTATTTTTACTTAGCACATACTTTAAACACTTAAAGCTGTAAGCTAATGATAGTTATATAAGAGCAGATGCATGCTGGTGCAATAAGCTGTATGTTTTACGTCCAATGGATGCATGATCTGATTAGTCGACTAATCGCAAAAAATATTGGTGACTAGTCGACTATCAAAATAATCATTTGTGGCAGCCCTAGTGCTTATGTATGTCATTTTAATTACTGTCGCCTTTTTCTGAAACAAATCTGTTTACTACACCTTCTTGTTTCAGAAACACCTAAAGAGGAAAGTCTCTATTGTAGTCAAGCACAGCTAAATTCTGCTTGTGAGTTAACCTAGCAAACCACACCGTGTGTTGTTAACACCTTAAACATGTACCTCCTCATGCCACTTCCTCTATGATTTTTGACACCCCTATATGGAGGACAACAAGAGCCACGCACATCAAAATAAAGAATTCTGTGCTTAAATAATGAATTGTAGAATAAATTATCCATTTGTAAAATAATTCCACATTAACATAGTGAGTTTCGAAATGTTTTTTAAAGTCCTCATTACCATCCTAGGGGAGCTAGGATGGTAATGAGGTGCTTGAAATGTTGTAGGTGGCTGAGTTTATACTGCTACCATTGAGACTGATCGGGACTCCATCTTTGTGGATCTATGGAAGTCCATATAGACAGGGTGTAGCATCCCCTGGGTAAAGGTGGTGATGTGCAGGGGGGGTCAGTGGTTTTTCCCTTTCAAGTTCTTGTAGGCAACTGATGACTTTCTTTTTGTAGTTGCTTCTGGGGTTTCACCTTGAAGCTTCATAGGTATTGTTGTCACTGAGGAGTTTAGTCATGTTTATTTGCTCTGCTTCTTTTTGTCAGGGATAAAATACACATATATATACTTTTTGTGTCCCAGCTGAGTAACAGGAGGAGAAGAGTCTGGTGGTGCAGCAGAGGAACAATTTCAGCCATTTGGACTCAGCTCAGCCACTACAGAGGAAACAATGTCTTCAACACAAAAGGTAAGAAAAACATCACAGTTACACTGTTATTGAAACTGCGTGCACAGCTGGTTGGTTTTTAAAAACCTGTTAACAGCAGCTTTATCTTTTCCATCCTGGGCTCCTCCATATATACAGAATCTACATTCACAACCAAAAACCACAGAAGTTGCAAGAAAATACAAAGATCTTATTTTCTCTACACACATTGAAACCACAATATCATCAGTCGAACTCAGAATTTTTTTTGAAGTAAAAGAGTTTCTTTGATGATCAATATTTCTTCAATAATGTCATTTTCATTACAACTCTCTTTGTAGCACATCATTGTAATGTGATAGTATTACCAGAAGGTGGTGGAAACACACCAACAATGTGTTTTTTTGACATGTCTGATTCCACCAATGGAGGGAGTTTCAGTTTGTTCCACGACTGCATTTCACACACTGCCTGTGTTTGTATCTCTGTCACTGCAGGACCAACATGGAGCGAGAAGTCAGCGCTCTCAGGAGGCCGACAAACCTCACAGAAGAAAGGGAGAGAAAACCTACAGCTGTGATGAGTGCGGGAAGGATTTTACCCGGGCTGGAGACTTAAAAAGACACCAAGTCATCCACAGTGGAGTTAAACCTTACAGCTGTGACTTGTGTGGAAAGTCTTTTACCCACGCTGGAAACTTAAAAAAACACCAACTCATCCACAGTGGATTTAAACCTTACAGCTGCGACTTGTGTGGAAAGTCTTTTACCCAGACTGGACACTTAAAAAGACACCAAGTCATCCACAGTGGAGTTAAACCTTACAGCTGTGACTTGTGTGGAAAGTCTTTTACCCACGCTGGAAACTTAAAAAAACACCAACTCATCCACAGTGGATTTAAACCTTACAGCTGCGACTTGTGTGGAAAGTCTTTTACCCAGACTGGACACTTAAAAAAACACCAACTCATCCACAGTGAAGTTAAACCTCACAGCTGTGACTTGTGTGGAAAGTCTTTTACCCAGGCTGGACACTTAAAAAAACACCAACTCATCCACACTGGAGTTAAACCTTACAACTGTGACTTGTGTGGAAAGTCTTTTACCCAGGCTGGACACTTAAAAACACACCAACTCATCCACACTGGAGTTAAACCTTACAACTGTGACTTGTGTGGGAAGGATTTTACCTGGGCTCTAACCCTAAAAAAACACCAACTCATCCACAGTGGAGTTAAACCATACAGCTGTGACTTGTGTGGAAAGTCTTTTACCCAGGCTGGAAACTTAAAAGCACACCAACTCATCCACACTGGAGTTAAACCTTACAGCTGTGACTTGTGTGGGAAGGATTTTACCTGGGCTCTAAGCCTAAAAAAACACCAAGTCATCCACAGTGGATTTAAACCTTACAACTGTGACTTGTGTGGAAAGTCTTTTACCCAGGCTGGAAACTTAAAAACACACAAACTCATCCACAGTGGAGTTAAAGCGTACAACTGTGACCTGTGTGGAAAGTCTTTTACCCATGCTGGAAGCTTAAAAACACACCAACTCATCCACAGTGGATTTAAAGCGTACAACTGTGACCTGTGTGGAAAGTCTTTTACCCATGCTGGACACTTAAAAAACCACCAAATCATCCACAGTGAAGTTAAAGCCTACAGCTGTGACTTGTGTGGAAAGTCTTTTAAATCTCCACATTACCTGAATAAACACCAACAGATCCACACCAGAAAGTAACTCTACAAGTGCAGTTACTGTGAGGATGTATTTAGTTTTTTATCTTGTAATTTTAACCTGATTGTTTGGAACAAGTCTGATCAGTAAACTTATGGAGTTATACTGAATGAACTGTTTTGAAAAATGAAGACTCATTTTCACTCAGTAAGCTGAGTGTTATAATGTAAACAGTAAAATGTAATTGGACGTTGGCAGAGATGCTCTTTATTTCAGGCGACGTTCAGGATAAAAACGTTGAAGGAATTCCCTGACTTACAATGTCTTTGTTTAGAAGTGGAGCGACGCACATGGATCCATTTCTCAACCCTGTCGTCACTGTGGTGGTGGGAAAGAGTTTCTCTGTGATCTTTGTGGAAAAACTTCCAATCATCAACGGGACCTAAAACCACATCAACGTAGCCACACTGGAGACAAAATGAACTACTGCAAAGAATGTGGGAGAGGCTTCCACACACCAAATACATTAAAATACATGAACTCTTCCACAGTGGGGTCAAAAAGCACATCTGTGACCAGTGTGGGTCATCCTTCACCACTGGAAATAAGCTCAATGAAAAAGCATAAGGGAAGCCACACAGGAGAGACACCATACAAGTGCAGACACTGTGACAAAAGCTGGTCACAATCAGGTCATCGTAACAAACATGAACGTACACACATGGAGGTGAACTTCAGCTGTGACCAGTGTGACAAGAGCTTCAGGAATCTCAGTTCATACTCCGAACACAAACGATCCCACGCTGTAAATAAACTGTTTCACTGTTACCAATGTGCAAAAACCTTCACTTCATTATCTGCTCTGTGCAAACATCAGCCTGATTATGCAGGACTGAAATCACTGGATCACAATGAATCTGAAGAGAGAGAAAGATCCTCTTCTGGTTTCAGGCTCAGACTTAAAAACCTTGAGATCAGGCTCCACAGAGTTCAGATGGAATCTCCTGTAAAGAGTGTCAGCTGATGTCACACTTGGATCTGATGAGGTAGCTCTGATTTCTGGAGCTGCAGTGAATAATCCTGAATGTTACATTTAGGAAGCTGCATGTATAGATATGCATATCAATTTTATTTTTTTTTCCTTTGAGGGATTTTAATTCTCTAAAATGTTATCGCTGTTACATTTTATTCTTTGTTTATTAGGACACAGTAGTGTTTAGTAGTTGTATTCATTTTATGTGTTACCTAAGTTAAATTTCAATCCTTCCTTCATATTTAATCTTTTGCTGTTGTAAAATCTTCTCTTAAGTAATTTTCTCCCAAAACTACAAATGTTTTCACAGCAGTTGCTCTTAAAACCTCCAAAATGAACTAAATCTGTCCACCAGCTTTGAAACAACACCTGCTGTGACTTTATGTCCAGAAAAAAGAAACTCAAGCTAAACTGGTTTTCGGCTGTATTTCCATATAATACCAGTTTGTACCTGAAGATGAAGCAGTGAGTCAGTGTAACCTTTATTTAATTAGGCAAAGACCACATTCATATTCACAGTGGCAGCAAAGAAATGTTGAAAGTTATAAACAGCAGCACACATCAGGACCAATTTAAAGATCACAGGTGACTACTTTTACTTAATTCAAATTCCTTCAAATTTTGGCTTCTCCTTTCACTTTAGTGTATTTACTGTATCCTTGAAGTCCACATGTTGTTTTTTAATGACTTCATTTTGATCCACATGTTCTGCAGCTGTTTCCCTGTTGATTTGACGTTTGTATTATGAAATCCTGATAATATTAAAGTGTTAGTTATATTTGATGAACTCTGTGTAAAGTTTGTGTTATTAAACAGTTTGGTGTGAAAATGAAGAAATTGTCTCAGAACAAGTAGTTTGAGCCATGATTTCAGATTCAAACTAATTTAACTGTTTTCAGTGGTACATGTGGAGGTTTATCAGAGGAGGCGACTTGGCTGTTCTCCACTCACACAGAACAGGGTTCCTGCAGCTCATTAAACACTCTGAAATGATCTTCAAGGACCAAAATATTTGATTTTTCTCAAAAACGTGCTGTGGGCATGACGCTTTTAGAGCGTGTGTTTAAGATGCATTGTGATTAACATCTCACACATTCCAATAAAGCAGATGTTCCTGCATTGCAACAGCGCTTTGCAGATGTGTTCTCCCCCTTGCCCATGTGCACGACTCTCATGGAGCACCACTTTGAAACACAGCTGATTGGCAGATTCCCTTGTCTGCAGAGTCCAAAGATAAAAACGGCCTCCTCCACTCTGTGTGGTTTGTACCAATTCGTCACACTTCCGTTTGGCTTGTTTGAAGCCCCGGCCAGTTTTCAGCACTTCCTGTAGCGATAGCTGTGTCCTCACACTGCATATGCTGTTTCTTACCTGGATGATGTCATCATTCATAGTGATACCTCAGTGGAGCATGTGCAGTGGTTGGTCACGGTCCTGGATTCCCTGAGGCAGGCAGTGCTGATGGCAAACCCGAAGAAGTGTGTGGTTGGAGGGAGGTACAGAGTTTTTTGGTACAATTTTGAGACCCCATTTGTAGGCTGATTACACCACAGCGACGTGATGAAGGCTGTCCCAATTCCAAATGCGGCCGGAAATGCGCACTTCATTTCCCCGGACTTGAAGGAGTCAGGTGTATCATTCGTGGACTACAGGAGGAATGCTGACCCACATCCACCCATCCACATTAAGGGGACAGCTGTGGAGCGTGTGAGCAGCTTCAAGTTCCTGGGAGTCCACATCTCCGAGGATCTCACCTGGACGACCAACTGCTCCAAGCTGGTCAAGAAGGCTCACCAACGCCTCGTCTTCTTGAGGACTCTGAGGAAGAACCACCTGTCCTCAGACATCCTGGTGAACTTCTATCGCTGCACCATCGAGAGCATCCTGACCAACTGTATAACAGTCTGGTACGGGAACTGCTCTGCCTCGGACCGGAAGGCGTTGCAGAGGGTCGTGAAAACTGCCCAGCGCATCGCCGGAGCACCACTTCCTGCCATAAAAGACATCTACAGGAAGCGGTGTCTGAAAAGGGCTGGGAAAATCATCAAAGACCCCAGTCACCCATCACATGGACTCTTCACCCTCCTGCCCTCTGGGAGGCGCCACAGGAGCCTCCGGACTAAGACCACCAGATACCGGAACAGCTTCTTCCCCACAGCTGTCAGACTCCTGAACTCTGCCTCCTGACATCTGACCCACGTTAAACTCATGGACTGAACATACACGCACACACAATGGACAACTGTACCCTCAAACACACAATAATAACATGGAGTGAACCACTACTCACAACCACTAGCACTTTATATAGCCTCTGTAGGAATTATATCTCACTTATCTTAACTGCACTACTGTATAGCTCTGTGTAAATAATCATTCTGTACATTCGATAATTTTTAACCCTGCAACTGTTTGCAGCTTGCATAGTTCCCATTTCTGTATAGCTGTATATCTCAGATTTCTGTAAAGTTGTTTATTTCATATTCTGTATAGTTTTTCATATTTTTATCCTGTTCATAGCCTGTACATAGCTTGTACTCACTACAGCCTGTACATACTTATAGTTATAGAATATTCACAACATACTTCATACCATGTACATTATAACATAATAGACCCATTTCTGTAATATACTCACATATCTATATTATTGCTAATATATATTGTAATATATCTATATCACTAAAGCACTTCTGGATGGATGCAAACTGCATTTCGTTGCCCTGTACCTGTGCATGTGCAATGACAATAAAGTTGAATTCTATTCTATTCATTCGTGGCGCAACATATCCCAGAATTCATAGCGCAGCCTTTACTGTGGCTAATAAAAAAAAAGGCAGATGGCAGAAGCATGGTGGCTGAAGAGTAAACTTTTGAGTATTGAATTTTTCAACCTCATCAGTTAACGCTGTCCATGCAGATATTATAGATTTGTAAATGATTAGCTAACAATCTTGTCAACACAAAGTTCTTTATTGACAGGCAGTGGGGAGAGGGGACACCTGGGCAGTGTATTTACTGCATATAATGTGTTATCAACCTTTTCATCTTTTCTCATTACCCACAGCTGCCTCCACTTCTGTTGGGCTTAGGCTACTCACTAGGGCTGGGTATCATCACTGATTTCTATAATTGATTTGATTAAATTCAATTTTGACTCAGTAAGTGTTTCAAAGTAACTGAGGATAAAACACAAAACAACAGCAAGCTAAGCATTTTTCAATTTGGCATAATTTAAAGAAAAAATGTATTAAGCAGAAAAAATTTAGCTTTCTTTTGGCCAGAGAGGAACAAAAGCTGCAGCTCAGAATCAGTTAGATGTTGACTTTCTGCCCCGACGGCGTGTCCGTGTTCATGTCGCCGGGTGAGAAACACGACATGTCACTGATGCATCGGGTCCGCGCTTTGTGTTCATGTCTTTGTGTGGAATCTGTTCACCTGCTCTCATTTATTGTTTGTTTGGTGGTCATTGTAATAGTTTTGTGAGCGCCTGGCGTTTCTGGCAAAATACATAGAATAAATGACTGAATGAATAAATGGAGCTGCTACAGAAAAAGCACGATCTCCTCTAAGTTTATGCTCAGTCCTGGGTACATTCAGGAACAGCTGATCAGCTGATTTGAGAGACGTGGGCGCTTCATTGATACAGAGAAAAACCCAACAATCATATGACCCCCTATGAGCAAGCACTTTGGCGACAGTGGGAAGGAAAAACTCCTTTTCGACAGGGTGATATGGTACTACAAGGTCATTAAGATAAGATGGGGCCTGATTATTTAAGACCTTGTATGTGAGGAGCAGGATTTTGAATTCAATTCTGGATTTAACAGGAAGGCAATGAAGGGAAGCCAAAACAGAAGAAATCTCTCTCTTTCTAGTCCCTGTCAGGACTCTTGCTGCAGCATTTTTGGATTAGTTGAAGGCTTTTCAGCAAGTTTTTTGGACATCCTGATAATAATGAATTATAGTAGTCCAGCCTGGAAGTAATAAATGCATGAACTAGCTTTTCAGCATCACTCTGAGACAGGATATTTCTAATTTTAGAGATGTTGCGCAAATGGAAGAACGCAGTCTTACATATTTATTTAATATGTGCGTTGAAGGACATGTCCTGGTCAAAAGTGACTCCAAGGTTCATCACAATGTTACTGGAGGCCAAGGTAATGCCATCCAGCGTAAGAATCTGGTTAGATACCATAGTTCTAAGATTTTCAGGGCTGAGTACAATAACCTCAGTTTTATCTGAATTAAGAAGCAGAAAGTTAGCAGCTGTTAGTGGAA